CTGAGCAGGCTGGTTCTTCACTGTCCAATAACCAAGTTTATTTGGCGATCAGGTCTGTGTTTCTGCTATAAAATTCACAGAAAGCGAAGCCAAAACATGAATCTGCAAACTGCTATACTGTTGCTAAACTGCTTCTCACCTTAGAAATAAACTACGGCAGATTGCAACATAAGAGGCAAGGATCTCTCACTTACACATGGGATTAGACAGCTGGTTTTAAAGTTTCTTTAATTTTACTAACTTGTAAAGTTCAAAAAACAAGGACTGTTTTCACTTAAGTTTACAAAACCAAACTTTAACCTGTTGGTGATTTTTGCTTGGTTGCTGGGATTTTATACGCAGAAAGGGGTATTTTTTCCCCTTCTGTGACACTTCTCAGAAACTGGGAAGAGGACAATATGGCCCGAAGTACTGGTCAAGTCTGAACTCAGACTTCGTTTCGGCAAAGTCTGCCTACAACTGTCACCACGATGCTTGCTTTGCTTTGGGGTTGCTGACAGAGTTTGAAGGGTCAGTAAGGTGGCCAGCTGGGCTTGGTGGGAGCCAGGGCCCTGGGGGCTGCCAGGAGGCCAGGGTTGCCCAGCAGTTTATCCTTCATTTCAAACCCAAAGGCTGGGAGGGAGTGGCATCAATCAGTGGAAAAGCTCAATCGGTGTAAAACTCACAGATCTCGTTCTTGCAACACCCAGTGGGCAGGCGACAGTGGCGTGTCCTTGAGTTATGCAATAACGCCACATCACAATATCATAATTATAGCATGCCCTTCACAATGTCTACCCGACAAGAGGGCTCCATGCCAGCCAGCTGGACACCACCAGCACCATTTCAGGTCACAGGTGACCCAGCTGGTCACAACAGTGTCCAATAAGCCCAGTATGAACAAAATAATAAATAAAAAAAGGCCTGTTTGTTTCCCTAAATTCAAATGCCTTAGAAACTCTGTAAGTACTTCAGCCACTCGCTATCACCCTAGCTAGTAACTATACCAACTGTCCATTAGGAACCTGTTAAAGATGGGTCATTAGCAGCTCCGTGCTGTAACCAGCAAAACCGATGGCATATTGTGTGGGCAGCGTGGTATGGGCAGCGTGGTATGGGCAGCACTGTGTGGCATCATGGTGTGGGCAGCATGGTATGGGCAGTGTGGTGTGGACAGCTGTACCCAAAGCCCATAGTGCTCTCAGCCCAGCCCAGGGATCTCCCATGGGCAAAGTGGCTCCACCGTTGGCCCGGAGACACTGAAAAACCTTGTAAACAGTGGGAGAATCAGGGCCAGCTCAAGGGGTCCTGGACACACCGCAGAATGAGGACGAGACCCGAGTGGGACCCCACGGGCAGAGGGGGAAACGCCTGGCAAACACATCTCCTCTGTGTCGACACTGCAGTTCCCCAGGGGAGCCTCACCCTCCTCAATGCCAATCCAAACTTACTGTAAACACTTGCACTTGTGGGTCTTCTTGTTTTGGCAACAATATACTCTTTTTCTGGAATATTTAACACCAGTAGCTGCCAGCAGGCAGGAGCTGATCAGAGACTGCTTCCAAGCCGAGGCCACGGAGGTAGCGACCACTTGAGGTCCCGCTGTCAGGGTTAGTTTCCCCATCCCTGTGACCTGGCCTGGGCAAGTGACTTCGCCTCTGGAGAGCTTACAGAAGCATCCACCCCTCACTGTTCCCAGTGCAGCTTTGCAGACCTGTGACCCACAGCCTCCGGCACTCCACTGACAGCAGCTGGGCAGTTGGTACGGAGAGGTCAGCTTATCTAAACAGACCGCACCCGGGCCTCCATCTCCCGAACAGGCCCTACACACAGCCAAACCCTGACACTCTCGCCCAGAGCTGCTCCACCACCCTCAGCAACCAACAGGCAGACTGTGCCACAGCCGGCAGGGAAGTGGGTGACAGTACTGCACTGATGCACATACAACCTCTCCCAGATGTCACAGGAAACACATCCTCCAGAGTGTACGTGTTTGGGAGACGGAGGTCTCAGCCACATTTGAAAATACTGCTTCTACAAAAGCACCCTCTCTTCCTTAGCATCCGTGCCCCTTACGGCGCTCAGGGCTCAGGGACGGCAGCGGGTGCGCGGGGCGCAGCGCTCGCCCGATAAACATTTTGCAACTGTCATCACTGTGACCGTGGTGCTTGCAGCGAGTGGTGAGCTCATCAGCTTTCAGATCTTTGCCGTAACACATCCTATACAATCATGGGAACTCCTCTTGCACAGGTTCTCACGCCTTCAGACTCAGGCAGCACAATGAGGCGTGCCGGCACAGGCCCTGCTGACTTATCTGGCTGGAACCAGGCGCCCGTTCCCCCATTCCTGACAAGAGCCACGGAGACTGGGCTTCTATCGCCAGGGGCACAGCTACCCTCAGGGACAGGCAGAACCATAAAGAATTAGTTCACACTTTTTCTTTTAATCAGAGGGGAAATTAGAAACACACGGAGCTATTATTACGCGTTGAACTTGCTCAAGGTGCCTTCCAGCCTCTAAGGTAGCGTACGCTGGGAGAGGAGCCCAAGCACCTGCAGGTCCTGCCTGACAGCCAGAAGAAGGCAGCAGGATCTCACTTCTCGGTGCTCACACACACTCACACGGCAAGATCTCACTTCTCGGCGTCAACCATGGCACACAGCCACACAGGACACACACTCACACAGCAGGATCTCACTTGAGGGAAGCCTTCTGGTGTCAGTAGTAGCTTTCTTTCCTCAAGCACCCTAAATCAGTGTCTTAACTCCTACATCAGCAGAGTGACATGGCGTGGGGGGCTTGTACATGTGTGTATCAGAGACACAGCATGCTGGGGTGGGTGTACATGCGCATATGTGGAGAGATGTGGCATGGCAAGTGGGGGGTGTGATCATACGTATAACAGTATGTGTGTGTGTATGTGTGTCTGTGTGTGCGCGCCCGCACAGCACGTGCATGTGGCAGAAATGTGGTTGGGGTGGGTATGATGCCAGAAGACATGTAGTAGTGGGGTGTGTGTGTTATCAGACATGTGGTCTGTGTGTGTATGTGTGTGAAAGAGAGAGAACAGACACCACCTGCAGGAAGTAGTGGGGTGTGTGAGTTATCAGATACGTGGTGGTGGTGGTTGTGTGTGTGTGCAGACACCACCTGCAGGAAGTAGTGGGGTGTGTGTGTTATCAGACACGTGGTGGTGGTTGTGTGTGTGTGCAGACACCACCTGCAGGAAGTAGTGGGGTTTGTGAGTTATCAGATACGTGGTGGTGGTGGTTGTGTGTGTGTGTGTGAAAGAGAGAGAACAGACACCACCTGCAGGAAGTAGTGGGGTGTGTGTGTTATCAGACACGTGGTGGTGTGTGTGTGTGTGTGTGTGTGTGTGAACAGACACCACCTGCAGGAAGTAGTGGGGTGTGTGTGTTATCAGACACGTGGTGGTGGTGGTGGTGGTGGTGGTGTGTGTGTGTGTGAACAGACACCACCTGCAGGAAGTAGTGAGGTGTGTGAGTTATCAGACACGTGGTGGTGGTGTGTGTACATGTGTGAACAGGCACCACCTGATGGAAGTAGGGCTCTTGCAGCGTTTGAGGCTCACACAAAAATCACGGCCCCGAATCTCTTACCAAGTGTACACAGGCGGGTCAGAGAAGACCACAGGTGCCTCCAATTTTCCCTCAGGACCTTTCCTTCCAGTGGAAATTTCATAACCACCCCAATGTGTAAAAGAGCACACTTCAAAATTCCATAGAAAAGATGGTTTTATTTTGATGCAAAACAAACTGAGCGCCTGCATGTTTTTCCCTAATCTGTGCCATCCATGGCCTCTGGCAGGCCATGCCCACAGTGTGCAGCACCTGGTGCAGGAGCCCAGCAGGCTCAAGCTCCTTCCTTAGAATGCGGTTTCTACACCCTCTCCATCTGATTTCACAAATGGAGACCATTCCTTCTTCACGTTTTCTGCATGAATTAAACCACTGAGCTTTATTTCTCACATAACCACACACACCCTGACACACAGCCACACACAACCTGAGACACAGCCACATAGGGGCAGTGAAGGTTCGGGGTGCCAAACAGCCTGTGAGTAAATCCAGGGCAGAATAAGCAGGCAATCCCGGCAGCAGCCGGGGGAGCCTACCCTGGTCAGACTCTGACACAGTCCTGGAGCCCATAGAGCTGACAGAGTGCCAAGCCCTGAGTGGGCAGGTCCATGTCCTAAAACTCCTCCTTCCGAGATACCGGTGCCCTCCTACTCCAGTCAGTGGGGCTACAGAGTGTCACTTGCTCCCTGCTGAGGCACATCCAGGAGAAGGCGATGAGCCTCGGTGAGCCCCCAGGCTGGAGGGCACAGGCTGAGATGCAGCCACTCAGAAGTGGTCAGCACCACAGGCCTACTGGTCAGTACAAATGTAGCAACATATTCACACTGAGACACACGGCAGAGTGAGCACCTGCACCGAGCCACAGCAGCAACACAGCAGGCCCACACTCAGGGCACGGCAGCAACACGGCCACGTGGCGGGCCTAGGCTGGAGCATGTCAGCCAACACTCACCCTCACAGCAGTCAGGCAACAGCCTGGTGCCAGGATGTGTCCTTCCACAGTTCAGAAACCTCACAGGAACGGACAGAGCCAGCTCAGCCATGGCGCCCTGCAGAGCAGGTCTGAATGATGGGATGAAGGCTCCCAGACCCCAAGAATCACAGGTGGTGAAAACATACACAGCAAACCTCCTGGACCAGGGCAACAGTCCCAGGTCAGACCTGAGAAAATAGAGCACACGCTCCAGGGCTGGCAGCTGGTGACCCTCGCCCAACTCCCGGCAGCACCTGTTGTGGGCACTGCAGGATCCCCCAGGCAGTGTCCAGTGGTGTCCAACTATGCTGACCCAACTCTGCTCTCCCCCTGCAGCTCGGTGCTTTCCTCATCACATTCCCGGTGGAGAGACAGCCACGGAGTCTGAGCAGAGAGGTGCAGCATTACCCACCCCCTCGGAAGGCCAGAGTGGGAGACACAAGCGGAAAATGAGCCTCCTCAAAGAGCGGAAACCCAAGAAGCCCCACTACATCCCCAGGCCCCCAGGGAAGCCCTTCAAATACAAATGCTTCCAGTGCCCCTTCACCTGCAATGAAAAGTCTCACCTCTTCAACCACATGAAGTATGGCCTCTGCAAGAACTCCATCACCTTAGTTTCCGAGCAAGATCGGGGCCCCAAGTGCCCTAAATCTAACGCGCTCGACCCCAAGCCGACCGGCCAAACAGACCCTGCAGCCAAGCCTGCCTCCTCCAAGGCAGCGACAAGTGGACTCCCTGGATTTGACTCGAAACTTCAGCAGAGCTTTGCCAAGGAGGACACCAAGGAAAACGTGGAGCTGAAGACTAGGGGGACCCCCCAGTGCCCTCCAAAGCCAGGCCTCCTCAAGGACACGGCACCCCTGAGCCCAGCTCCAGAAGCAGCACTGGGCACCCAGGCTGCCCTGGAAGGTGTGGTCCGGCATTCAGCGTTTGTTCCGGTCGGAGAGCACAGACTGAAGGGGCCGGAGAATGCAGAGGCCCCGGAGCTGCTGGCGGTGGCGTCCCCCGCAGCCAAGGCCACTGCCTTCCACACCAAGTCCGCTTTCCACACTCCCAGCTATCCCTGGAAAGCCACTTCCCCATTCCTTGCACCGGAGCTTCCACACAGAATGCCACCAACAAAGGGCTTCAGCGCCATTCCCCCCTACATGCACCCCACCGTGTCAGAGTACCCCCCACACTTCCACACGGAACACGGACTGGCTGCCATCTATTCCCCCTACCTCCTGGCTGGGAACCCACCTGAGTGTGACCGGCCCCTGCTATCCCTCTATGGAGCCCAGGACCAAAGGCCCTTCCTGCCTCACCCAGGACCAATTCCCAAGCACCTGGGTCCGACTCCGTCCACATACGACCACTATAGATTCTTCCAGCACTACCCTTCCAATCTGCCAATTCCTTATGGGTTTTACCGGCCAGAGTCAGCCTTCTCCTACAGCCTCAGGCTGCCCCCGGTGGCTGGCATCACGCAGGATCAGGGCTCTCAGGCACTGGATGAGGCCACTCTGCTCTTCCCAGCCTCAAGTCCTTCCAAGCTGACCCCTTCCACCTCCCACAAGAAACACGCGGCACGGGAGAAGGAAAGCCCCCTTCCAGAGGCTAAAGACGCTTCCAAGGACGGGCAGGGGGACGCTGAAGGGGCCAAGATGAGTCCCCGTGAGGGCAGCGCAGCCACAGGCTCCCCAGGGAGGCCAAGTCCCACCAACTTCACACAAACCAGCCAGCCATGCGAGGGGCTGTGCGACCTGTCCAACAAGCCAGCCCTGGGCACGCTGGGACGGCCCCACCAGCTGGAACGCAGCCTCACCGCCTTCAAACCCATCCAGAAAAGCTGTGAAGGCCCCTCTTCCCAGGCTTCTGCACAGGGGGCAGCGTCGCCTGACAGGTAAGGAAAATTCATTTTCAAAACCCACAGGTCAGGTTTTTGGTTTGCTCCCACAGCCATGCTTGTGCTGGCTCAGAATCTCCACCCTGTCACTATCTAAGCCCTCTCTCATCTTCTTCCAGCTTCGAGGCCATACCTGGGGAACCTCCCGCCCAGACAGGAAGCGCCACTCTGGTCGCAGAAGCCCTGCCTTCCAGCTCAGAAGACAGCTCCAGGATAAGCCCCCTCAACCTTTCCAAGAGGGCAGAAGCCAGGCCGGCAGCAGCTCACGGCCCCGTGTACCGGGGTTGCCTCCTGGAGGAACCCCCCAGCTTCCCAGAGCTACAGGACCTGCCCCTTAACCTCTCAGTTAAAGACCCCTGCAATGTGCGGCCCCCAGGGCCCACATTGACCAGCCCGCTCACAGAAGATGCCAGCGCTGCCACTGCTGCTCAGGAAAAGAAAGCAGGAAGTCCCAGGCACGGACCAAGCCACCCCGAGCCACAGGACAGCCCCAACAAGGCCCCAGAGTGCAGCCCAGACAGGAAGGCCCGTGAAGCATGTGAGGAAGACAGCGGCGACGAGCAGAAGCAGACGGCAGCTGTGGCCCTGTGTCAGCTGGCAGCCTACAGCCCAGGCAACGTCAGGGTGGGCGACGGGGAGCCTGCAGCCCAGGAGCCGGCCTGCCCACAGGACTCGTCTCCTCGCAGGTCCACAGACAGCCAGGAGGCTCCGTGTGACCTCAGGCCCAGAGGGACAAAGAGGACAAGCCAGAGAGATGCAGGGAAATCCCAGCCAGGAAGTAAGAGAACGAAGGCAAGCGACACGGCCAGGGTGCTCACCCTCCGGAGAAGAGGCCGGGTGTCCTAGTGCCAGGGCGCAGCCCCGCACCCTCACCTGTGTAGGTGCAGACGTCTGACAAGAACAGCAAAAGGTGTTTCCAGCCTGGTTACAGACGCCCTGAACATGGTCAGCTGGACCCTGGCTTCATGCCTGCAACCCCGAGTTGCACACACACACTGAAGTGTAGCACCAGGACAAGCTGTTGCAATCTTTTTTCTATTAAACACAGTTGCGTACTTCAAAGCAAACAGAAGTTATTGAAAAACACCAGGGCAAGGCACTGGGTTCCAGCTTCTGCAGGAGGGTGCTGTGACTCCGTGACTCATAGCACACAGACATCAAGAGGCTATTTATACAGATAAATTATTTCCTATGCAATGACATTCCTGGTGATGGTATCACACGTGTACCCTATTTGCTTATCATATTGCAGTAAAGGTTTTTTTTGGTTTACACAGTCTGAGTTTCCAATCCTTATGATGTCTGTGTAACTGACATTCCAATTCACCCTGGTGTGAACTCTGAGCATCCATCCCATGGGAGTGTGCGCTGCACACGCAACGTGCATGGTGAACACGCACTCTGCATGCCCACATGTGTGAACCAGTGGCCCAAAGAGCACCTTACCAGTGCCCCAGTTGTGCTTCAGCAGGCGGCCTCCCGGCCCCGCTCCCCTCCTCCCGAATGGAAGTCTCCGTCTTGCACGGACAGCACGGGCGTTTTGGCCTGTCCACAGCTCCCACCAAGGCAGCACAAACACAAACACAGCAGACAACACCTCCCTTACCCCTGAGCAGGGCCTGTGGGCACTGAGCAGAACCTCCACCTTGTATGGGTGAACACAGCACAACCCAGACCAAAACCCCACCTTAGGAGTCACTGACCTCCAGCGAACATTACCCTCTGCACAAACGACACACAGCCCACTCGGGACTAACACTGCTTGTTTAAAAGACTCAACCTAGGGGCTGGCATGATGGCTCAACTGACTAATCCAGCGCCTGCAAGTGCCAACATCCCATATCTGCACCAGTTCTTGTCCCGGCTGCTCCACTTCCCATCCAGCTCCCTGCCTGTGGCCTGGGAACGCAGTCGAGGACGGCCCAGAGCCTTGGGACCCTGCACCCGCATGGGAGACCCAGAAGAGGCTCCTGGCTGCAGATCAGTTCAGCTCCAGCCGTTGCAGCCACTTGGAGAGAGAATTAGAAGATGGAAGATGTTTCTGTCTCTCCTTCATCTGCCTTTCCAATAAAAACAAATGAATCTCTTTTTTTTAAAGATTTTTATTATTTTTTTATTGGAAAGGCGGATATACAGAGAGGAGAGACAGGGAGGAAGATCTTCTGTCCGATGATTCACTCCCCAAGTGAGCGCAACAGCCGATACTATGCCGATCCGAAGCCAGGAGCCTCTTCCGGGTCTCCCACGCGGGTGCAGGGTCCCAAAGCTTTGGGCCGTCCTCGACTGCTTTCCCAGGCCACAGGCAGGGAGCTGGATGGGAAGTGGGGCTGCCGGGATTAGAACCGGCGCCCATATGGGATCCCGGGCATGCAAGGCGAGGACTTTAACCACTGTGCCATCGCGCCAGGCAAAAAACAAATGAATCTTAAAATAATATTTAAAAAAAAAAAAAACTTAAATAAGGATCCAATTTAGAATTTCTAAAACTTTATTTATTTATTTATTTGAGAGGCAAGGGGAGAAGAAGAGAGAGACAACAAGCTCCCATTCATTGGATCACTCCCCAGATACCCACAACAACCAGGTCTCAGCTGAAGACAGGGGCAGGAGTACCACCCACGGAGCTGGCAAGACCCCAGCCACCCGAGCCCCAACACTCCCTCCAGAGTCTTCACCAGCAGGAAGCTGGAATCCGGGGCCAGCGCCGGGAGCTGAGGCTCCAATCAGGAATGAGGAAGTCTTAACCGCCGGGCTGAAGGCCTGCTCACAGAAGCCACATACGCAGGCAGGCACAGCTCCCATACCCTATAAACCCAGACAGCCCCTTGGTTCAGGGACAGAAAGGAAGGATGGAATTCCTGTGAACAAACTTGACTGGAACCTTCAGCAGAGATGGCAGGAGTGGGGTGAGGAAAAACCACCGGGACACAGAGACACGTGATCATGTTAACTCAAAGAGGCAGAATTAGGCAGACTGCAGCACGCACCCTGCTCCTCCACTGACATACACCAAGATGTTGGCCGAAGAACAGAACCACCACACGTTCTGTTTTCCAGGAAGTAAACAGCCCTGTAGGAAATGTGACAGAGTGAGACTCACCAAACTCCATGCTCTGCACTGAGGACCCACACCACAGGCAGGGCCCTGCAGCCGAAGAGTTTTTGCTCACTCTTCATTACCTCAAGAACGTATCTCTGCGTCAGAAGCCCCCAAGGCTGAGGGTGGAGCAAGAGGCACCACCTGCTGTGGCAGGGATGCAGGGGCCACTCTGCTGACCTGGGCTCCCTGTGCTGCAGCATGAGCCATCTTGGCAGAAGCTTCACACTCCTGGTGCGAACCCCAGCAGCCGGGGCAGGCCTTCGCATCTGGCTCCAAAACAGTACAGCTCCTCAAGCTTTACAGCCAAACAGATCCACCAACGTATTAACCACACACCCTGTCCACATTCATATGGGACACAATTCAGACCTAAACGTTCCTAACAGTTGTATATGGGAAGTGTTAATCTCTCCAAAACAGAACACAGATTATCACACAACCTAGCAATTCACTTCCAGGTGTGCAGCCAACTTTCAGGAAGCCAGAGGAGGAATCACAACATCAGTGCACAGCACAAGATGTGCGAGACAGCATCATCTGCTCAGGGGGTCTAACTCCACCACAGCCCAAAGGCATCCTCACCAGGCTCCAACACAGGAGCCTGGAACCCCAGCGCATCCTCTCCACACCCCGTCAAAGGAGCCTGGAACCCCAGGGATCCTCTCCGCTCCCTGACACAGGAGCCTGGAACCCCAGGGATCCTCTCCACACCCTGTCACACACAGGAGCCTGGAACCCCAGGGATCCTCTCCGCTCCCTGACACAGGAGCCTGGAACCCCATGGCGTCCTCTCCACACACCCTGTCACACACAGGAGCCTGGAACCCCAGGGCGTCCTCCCCACCACGCACACACAGGAGCCTCAAGCTCGAACTCCAGCTGCAATAACTTGGCCAGCAGAGCAACGCTGCAGGGGCACTGTGCCTTCACGGGCTCCAGAGCGTCTACCTGCTCAGAGCTGAGTGCCAAGGGGTTCTGTGGTTGGGTGGCAGCGACAGGCCAGGACTTCTCAAAGGGAGACCAGCTTCAAAAGGAGGCAGTGTTGACGAATGCATAGTGCACAGGAGATGATGCCAGAGTTCTATGTCTAAAAACAGTAAAAGTCGGTGCTGGTGCTGTGGTGTGAGGGCCAAGCCGTTGCCTGCAACACTGCCATCCCATCTGGGGCTGGCTGGGGTCCAGGTTACTCTGTTTCTAACCCTTCACTCAGTGCACTGAGAAAGCAGCAGGGAACAGCCTGCACGCTCGGTTCTGGCTCCAGCATGGCCCAGGCCTGGCAGTTACAGCCACTTGCGGAGTGAACCAGCCTATGGAAAAAATCTTTCCTTCTCTCACTCTGTAACTGTGTCTTTAAATTAAATACTTTTCAATTGGTAAAAATTTTAAAACTGTTTCATGACTATATTTTGTCGCAATTTTTCTCAAGCAATAATGCAATAATACATACTTTCCATGGGTAGACTGCATTGTGACCGACTACAACAGGTACTCACAGAACCATCACATCTCATTCTACGCTGCCCTCTGAGTGAGTGCCCTCTGAGTGCCCTCTGAGTACCTTCTGAGTGCCCTCTGAGCTGCCTTACTCTCAACCAAGATGCTGTTTGTGGGAATGCAAGGTTCAGGGGCACTCACTCACTCACTCACTCGCTGAGACACAGTCTCTCTCACTCACTCACCCAAGGAGACACTCTCACTCACTCAAGGAGATACAGTCTCTCTCCCTCACTCACTCACTCACTCTCTCTCTCTCACTCACCCAAGGAGATACTCTCTCACTCACTCACTCATTTACTCACTCACCTAAGGAGACACAGTCTCACTTACTCACTCACTCACCCAAGGAGACACTCTCACTCACTCAAGGAGACACAGTCTCTCTCCCTCCCTCACTCACTCACTCTCTCTCACTCACCCAAGGAGATACTCTCTCTCACTCACTCATTTACTCACTCACCTAAGGAGACACAGTCTCACTTACTCACTCACTCACCTAAGGAGACACAATCTCTCTCTCTCTCACTCACTCACTAAGGAGACACAGTCTCTCACTCACTCACTCAAGGCAACAGTCTCTCACTCATTCACTTACTCACTCACCTAAGGAGACACAGTCTCTCTTACTCACTCACAGAAGTAGACACAGTCTCTCTCACTCACTCACCTAAGGAGACACAGTCTCTCTCACTCACTCACTCACTCACCCAAAGACATACAGTCTCTCTCACTCACTCACTTGCTCACTCTCTCCCTCACTTACCTAAGGAGACACAGTCTCTCTCAACCACTTACTCTCTCACCTAAGGACACAGAGTCTCACTAGTTCACTCACTCACTCACATTCTTGCTCACTGTAAGGAGACAGTGTCTTCCTCCCTCCCTCACTCACTCATCTAACGAGACAGCAGCTCCCACCTATAGTACAAGAGGCCTCGCTCCAGGCCAGAACAACAGCTGCTAACTACACCAGGCTGGTCAGAACTCAAACAAAGCAGGTGGTCAGCAGGGGATGTAGACCCTGTGGGTGGGGCTGCAGCTGTATCAGAGCCCATCCTTCCAGGTTACTTGCTCACCTAGCAACTAGGTGCACAGGCCTGGGGCAGATGCTCCATGAAAGGCAAAACACGGCCCAGGGAAGAACAGGAAAACTTGTGGCATCAGATCCTGCACAGCTCTGTCAGGAGGGGACGTGGGAGTCATGCTAGTTTGAGTTTTTTCTCAAGGACATAGTCTCCCCTGTGCTGAT